ATATATATATATATATATATATATATATATATATATATATATATATATATTTGTATGTCACGCACGCGATAAAAATGAAAATGAAAATAAAGCCGAGGAATAAACTGCGAAACCGATAAAAACGCAATACGCGTCCGCTTCCGACGACGATAACCATAAAAAACGAGCCACAAGGCTCGAACAATCGTATCTCCTCTTCAAAAATTGTCCATTTTTGTGGACAATCTGAGCGTCAATTGGGGAGACATTACTGTTTTCTTTCGATCGACTGGAATCTTTCAAAATGTTTTCGTATCTTATTGCTCTACTCGCGGTTCGTTAGACGGAGTACAGTAATGTTTCCTTTATTGACGCTTAGATTGTCTACAAAAATGGACAATTTTTGGAAGAGAAGATACCATTATTCGAGCGAGAATTAGAGAGACATTACTGTACAGTGATTACTGTACAGTGTCTCCCTTATTGACGCTTAGATTGCGCACAAAAATGGACAATTTGGGAAGAGGAGATACGATTAATTTGAGTCTTCTGCCTCGTTTTATAGTTACGAATTATCAACAATTATAAAAACGGGCTGCAAGGCTCGAACAATCGTATCTCCTGTTCCCAAATTGTCCATTTTTGTGCACAATCTGAGCGTCAGTTAGGAAGACATTACTGTATATCGCGGTTTTCATTAATCACTATTACGGTAAATCGACGGAAATATGTTTACTGTATAGCGCGTATTTATTTGCCGGTGAAATAAATTTTCATGTACATAGATATATATAAATATAATATATATAACACAATATAATAATATAATAATAAATAATATAATATAATAATATAAATATATATATGTTTGTATGTCACGCACGCGATAGAAATGAAAATAAAGTCGAGGAACAAACTGCGAAGCCGATAACAACGCAATACGCGTCCGCTTCCGACGACGACGCGGTCCTGGAATCCGCAAGCTCGACGAAAAAAAATGAAATGTAACCTTATAGGAGGTGTAACTTAATAGGAGGATCGCGCGTGCGGAAAATCGATTCTGCGGAAAGGGACACGTTCGCGCGCGACGACGCGACGCGCGAAACTTGCTACTCGCGCTCAGTCGAGCGTACTCAATTTTTTTAAACCGACTGGCGCGCTGTCGCACCTGCTTAGGTAAGTGCTCGCATAGGTACTGCTGTTTGATCGAACTAATCCATCGTGTGCCGAGCTTATCAATGGAAAATTGTGACATAATTGTTTGTACGTTTGTATTGGCTTCTCGATGTCGACTACGATAACGCGCTGCTACTAGCTCGCGATTCTTCCAGCGTTTCCGCGATATTAATCCGATTCTTCTTCGAAGCTCTTGTTTGGCTAAATTCGTGGAGATCGAAGTCTCTCTGCTAGAAACACGTTTCAGGGATCGGCCTCTTCCCGTACCTTCGCGCAGGCAGCAGGAGCTTGGTCGGTTTATCGTCGGACTACTATTTGCACAGCTCGTGAAAGAAATGGTTTCGAGAATTTCCGTAGTTCTCCCCGCCTTTCGTGCTCTGTTCCTGCAAAACCTATCGCGTCGTAGACCAGCTGCCACCGCGTATCGCTATCGTCGAAACGTTTATCCGTGTCGTTCTCCAATTTTGCACGCACTACTGCGGAATAAATCGTTTCTCTCGAGAGCCGACATCGTAGAATCGAGTAATATAACCAGTTAGCTGTGGCGCCTCCTTTTCAAAGCGTGCATCTATAAAGGGTGTCCCAAAAATGTCTCGCAATCCGGAAGTGGCGGGTTCCTCGGGTCATTCGAAGCAACTTCTTCCTTTACAAAAATGTTCTCCGAGGCACCGTTAACGAGTTATCAACGAAAAACAATGACCAATGAGAGGCGAGCTCGGCTGGCGCGAGGCGACCGAGCCAATGAACGGAACTGTGCTTCGCGCGCTGGTTGCGCTGGGCCGCCTCGCGTCAGCCGTACTCGATTCTTATTGGTCACGGTTTTTCGTTAATAACTCGTTAACGGTGCCTCGGAGAACATTTTTGTAAAGGAAAAAGTTGTTTCTAATGATCCAAGGAACTCGCCATTTTCGGATTACGAGACATTTTTGGGACACCCTGTATAGTAATGTCTCTCTAATTTACGCTCAGATTGTGCACGAAATTGGACAATTTCGGAAGAGGAGATACGATTATTCGAGCCTTAAATCTCGTTTTTATAGTTGTTGATAATTCGTAACTATAAAACGAGGCAGAAGACTCAAATTAATCGTATCTCCTCTTCCCAAATTGTCCTAAATCGTCCATTGTCCTGCACAATCTGAGCGTCAATTAGGGAGACATTACTGTACCGCGATTCGCGTGTCGAAACACTGTCCGCGACGATCACAGCTGTCCGACGCAAGAGACGGCCCGAGGTCGTCGTTTCCCTAATAGATTCTAAATAGAAGAGATTAGAAATTGTCGATACGACTGCTAACAGTCCGAGCCAACGATCGCGTAGAAACGCGCGCGAACCGTGCCCGCGGTGAAGCGATAAAGACGAGCCCGCGGGGGATTCGATCTATGTACACAGATTTAGCCGCCATCGCCGCCGCCGCAGCCGTTAAGAGACTCGATCGAAAGAATCGATCGGCGATAACGGAATGTT